TATTTTTATTTTTTTTTTTTATTTTTTGTGATTTGCTGTTGGGTGGATGAGTTGATTGGGGAGGGGAAAAAATGAAAATGGATTGAATATCGTTGGATGTTAATGTTTGCTACTTGATAAAGTGTGGATGGTTTCATGTTTGTCTTACGCGCTCACGACTAAATGGTGTTTTCGATTCGGTTAATTGGTTTTGTGGTGGAATGAAAACATAACACGAAGATGATGGCATATGTGAGGTTGATCGAATCAGTTGATTAATTTGGATTTGGGTTTATGCAAGAACAATGTACCTTGTAACATTGAGGTCCTATCTTATCTGTGCTTGATTTTAAGATATGAATGTACGAATCTTGAAAATTAATGCGTTTTTACTGCAGCCCTCGGTTAGAAAACAACATAATGCGGGGTACAAGCACAAGGTACTCTGTCTCCCTGCCCTCAACCTCCTCACAATTTTGCCTCTTTTTTTTTTGGAGTTTTAGATTACATTATATGTCCTTACCTATTATGACGAGTAGGCGAACGTGAGAATTTACTATCAACAATACGAGGCGCAATTAAATCAAAGCTTTATTGATCAAAAAGTTAAGGAACATCTGGTAGGAGGTGCATTTAGGCCTCCAGTGGCTCCTTATAATCAGCTGAGACCTGGTATGCCGATTATACCGCCTCCATTACCAGTTCCAGGGCAGTTGTTTCCCGGTGCCCCGTCAGTCCCCGGGTTTAGACCTCCTGTCTTTCCAAGGCCCATGCCTGGAGTTCCAGGTATGGTGAAGTAGCCAGACAAAAAAGCTATTGTTTTCATCATCTTTTTCCTTTTTCATAAATGTGCATATTGGGTATGTTTGAAACACATTTTCCTTGGGAAGCAGTAAAATATCTGCATTTTAGTTATGAATGGTGAGTGTGGTTAGATTTTTCAATCAAACAACAAAAATTGGTGCATTTTGTTCTGTGTAATATATGTGATGGTAATATCAAACTCTTGTTTAGTGTTTGTGATATTAGAACATGTTTTGGCTGATGGATACCATAAGGGTCGTTTACATTTATCATTGTACAGGATATTTTATGAAATTTGGAATAGAACAACAATATGAATGTGCTCCTTACTTGATTGTTTGAAGTATGGTTATTAAATTGTCATCTCACTTGAAAACTGTATCATCCAACTAAAACAGGAATCCCACAACGAAAATGAGATCCCCGTGGTTAATGTTTTTCAATCTTTTGATTCTTTTATTGTTGCATGAAAGAACAGGCTATGCAGCTGGTCCTCCCATGCCTCAAATGCCTCCTCCGGGTGCTCCTTTGACCGGTCAACCAAACGGTCTCCAAAGACCTGGAACAGTTCCTCTTCCTCCTCCTCCAGCAATGGTTCCTAGTTCTGGTGGAATCCCAACCAGTGGTGGCCCACCAATGTATGCACCACCTGTGACTTTGCCTGCAACTGCAACTGGTGCTGAAGGTTCTAACGTTAATGCTCAGGCTCCTGAGGCCAATTGAATCGTTTTAACTTATGTCTGTTTTCGTTGAGGAGGGATTTTGAGTTTATGTACAAAAAATATTTGTGGGAACTCCAAAAAGATTGATCTTTGTCTGCAAATATTGGCAGATTCCGGTTTGTTCGTTAGAAGGGCCTTCCTTGACTGTGGCAATGCACTTGTTTGTAATCTTCTTTTTACCCAACTAGTGGGATTTTGTGTTTTACTAATGAAATAATGTTCAGTACCTACCTCAACAAATTCCTCTTATATTTTTCTTTTATTCCTAATTTCCAGTTAAAAATTGCCTTTTACTCGGGAACATTTCCTAAAATTGGACACGGTAACTTGATATATTTTAGAGGGATTACACAAAAACAATGGAACAACATGAAGAATGTTTTTCTTTATTTCCTGTCTACACGAAGCAGTAAATGCGCCTACTCTAGTATCCGTTGTACAATAAGATCAACGGCTGCATTTGCCGAGGAAAACGCTCCATGAAAGCTTTCTTGGTAGGAGATAGACTCCAATTCTACAGCCATTTTCAACAAAATGTCTCCCAAGTCGGCTCTTTTCTCGATCAGCGACTTGTAGAACGATTTTGCAGCAACTCGGCTTATTTCTATATTAGTGGGCTCCGGGCAGTACTCATCGTCCAGCCACTTTTGAAGGGCTACTCTGAGCCATTCCGACTCCTGCGTAATGAACATTAAAAAACTAGGATGACTGAAAAAAGTGGGCATTACTATGCAGGCACATAATCTACTCATCTTTCAAAATTATGTACCATAAAAGACTTTTATTTGACGGTAATAAGATGAAAAAAAAAAAAAAAAAAAAAAAATTAAAAAGAATTAGGAAATATGATGAACTACCTCGAGGGCTCTAGAAGCTTCCATCCAATCGCTGGGAACCCAGAGGCCTTGAACTGTGCTCTGCTCATCTTGGCCGCCATTGCTCTCGCTCGGAGAACTCGAATAACAAGCTTTTCCGGGGAATTTGGAAACCCTAACACCAATTTTCCGGTGGCCGGAAAACTGAAAGCTGCTGGTCGATAATTCGACCTTTGTGAGCTTACGTGCACCAATTGGATTGATCATGGGATTAATCGAGGTAGGGCAATTGAAAATTAGGGATCTCATTTCCACATTCGGACAATTTCCCCCAATTTTGAGATCAGATATATTTATGAAAAGAAGAGCTCAACGGTCTGTGAAGCGATCGGATAAGATAACCGGGATTTGGATGAATGGGAACAAACGACGTCGTATAACTCGGAGCACATATATGGTTGCAATTTTTTTCACAAAAATTTGTCTTTAATTGGTTAAAAATGAAAAGATATTTTTTTTTTATACCAAAAAAAATTAAAAAATTAAAAGAAATATATATATATATATATTTAAAAAAAAGGCATATTTAAGATTGTTAACAAATGTAAAATTAAAATATAATGATTAAATATCAAAATAATAAAATATATATTGTTATCGATCAACATAGAAATAGCAAAATTGTATTTTTAGTCATGTTGGTTTTAACGTTATAGTATTTTTAGTTCAAAATTTTAAAATTTTTTGTCTTCTAATCATGTAATTTAGTATTTTGCTGGAATTTCAGTCTTAAAAGATTGAAATTGCATTGAATTTTAACATCATAAGACCAAACAACAAAAATGTTTAAATCTTTAGGACTAAAAACACCGCTAAATCAAATCAACAAGACTAAAGTTGCAATTTTGCCGCATAGAAATATATGAGTTGATTAATTGTATTTTTTATGAAAAATATATAATGATGACTATTTTAATTTTAAGTGTGCTAGAGAACTTTGTAAAGAGACTAATTAATGACTAATGTGAGATGAATAATAGCTTTTTGTAAAGATATTTTGCTTCATTTTGTTCTGAAGATAAATCTTGACTAAACAATACAATATATGAGATTTGTTTATAAATAATCATCACCAAAAACTTCATCACCAAAAAAAAAA